TATATTTAGAGTACATGTGTGTTTGTCTTTATCACTTATAGTTGGGGAGTATGTTTTTCGATTGGGTCCAAATTCTGATTTTAATAAACATCGATCAGTTCGAATATTTTACAAACGGTGTAATAATAAAATAATCACCGTATCATTGTGCGGCGCTAAGCAATGATCATTCTCTTTTCAGGGCAACAGCGACTATCTCTGATCAGTTTTTTGTTATCTTCATCCAGGTTTGTGGCACTGGTATTGCCCCAAAGGCAAAAGTAGCAGGTATAAGACTGATCGATGGTGACATCACCGATACGGAGGAAGCGAAAGCACTGTCTCATGCTCTAAATCTGGTGGACATATATAGTAGTAGCTGGGGTCCGATGGTAAGAACATAGTGTTGGTGGATTGTTTATTCTCTCGTGTTAATCGCTGTATACATTGCAAATCAGATTTACTGCATCAGTGTGCTAAATTATATTTTTCTATATAGGACGATGGCCAAACAGTCGAGGGGCCAGGCAAGAGGACGCTAGCTGCACTACAAAGAGGTGTAAGAGATGGGCGTGATGGTCTTGGAGCGGTGTACCTATTTGCTAGTGGAAATGGGCAAAACATTGATGACTGCAACTGTGATGGGTACGTTATTGCGCTCCAAATTATCATACTTTACTGATTTAGTGTCGTGTCAGCAAACTGGTATGCGCTACGTGTAGAACATTTAGCATCTGTGCTGTTACTAATCATGTACATCCATATCCACTTTAGGTATGCCAATTCAGTTTACACCTTGAGTATCGGCGCGGTCGATAGCAACCATAATCAACCTTGGTAAGTTATCAGTTGCCTCAGTCTGTAGGATCAGTTTGTATGACATAATGTTTCTAATCTTACCTCAATTCCGAATATTCAATGAGCCTATGAGCTGCGTAACTGTCTGCCGTGCTTACAAATATATCTTCTACATCGCGCAGGTACAGTGAGTCCTGCTCAGCAATGATCGCAGTAACATATAGTTCGGGTGAAGATAATGAACCAGGCATATCTACTATCGATGTCGGCGGAGAATGTACAGACGAGCATAGCGGTATGTCGACAAGAGTCTCTTTAATGTTTGATACGGCCAAATTTGCTCTTCAGTTCAGATATGCACGGCCAGGCTTTTAGAACCAACATGTTTCATTTATGGACCTTGGTTTTCTTACTCTTTACAAATTATAACATCTCAGGTACATCCGCAGCCACGCCATTGGCGGCCGGCATCATTTCTCTCGTTTTGAGCGCGAATCCGTTACTTACATGGAGAGACATCCAACATCTTATTGTGGAAACTGCAACCAAAGTTAACGAGGACGATCTTTCGTGGAGCCTGAACGGGGCTAGTCACCTAGTAAGTCACAAATATGGCTTTGGATTACTGAATGCTGGGGCGATGGTTCGTGCTGGATTACTTTGGAACAGCGTAGGTTCCTTAGAGGTTTCAACGGTCAATGGTGGCCCTCAGATGTCATCAATAGACCCTCAAGGTGTGTTTACGTCTGCCTTGCGCTTTCGATTTGTTTCGCCTCCGAATGAATTTACAGCAATCTAACATTACTCTTAATTTGAACACTAGCGGGGCGACAAATTCTGGAGATAGCAGATTCAAAAAATGCGGAATTGGGCTTAATGGAGTATGCGAACTTCGCTCGATCGGATGAATCACATGGTGAGTGCTGCATCGATCGTCTGTCAATTATTGAGAATACTCTCGATAGTGTCGCCTGCCTCTACGCCAAATCTCTTACTGTACTCATCGTCACTGCATCTGCTCCCCAAAATACAATAGGAGTCGACAGCATTGAAACTGTAGCTGTGACGCTCACAATCCTACACGAGTGCCGCGGCGATCTGGAAATAATTATATACTCTCCCATGGGGTCGAGGTGTGTACTCGAAAGCTAAGATGTGCATTTATTTGTTTTCTCGGGACGTAATTATCTATCTATTATACATTTTTGAATACTCAAGTCCCGCTTTCACAAATTGGCAGGTCGACGCTTTTACGACCACGCAAATTTGATGACTCAACCGAGGGATTCATCGAATGGACAATGACAACACTGCACTATTGGGGAGAGGTGAGTCCCGTTATCTATTCAGGTTTAACTTGCTAATCTAAGAGACTTTAAAAAGATCTCGTGTAATGTACTATAAGACGTCATGGTTCGAATCCCATACACTTGCATGAAATTTACAACCAGTCTTTTATCGTATGCAGAATCCGGAAGGGCAGTGGGCTTTGCAAGTTAGAGATGTGAACAAAAACTCTAAATCTGGACGCTTAATCAGCTGGAAGATCAGCTGCTACGGAACACGAAAGGTAATAGGAGAAGCCCGCATTTTTGTCGAGTATTTCGATGATTGGAGCAAATATTTAGGAATATGTTTATTACTGCTTATGCAATTATTTGTTCATCCGACGTAACTTGCTTACCAGGAGGGTACGCGCACATGAAAACCATTTCTAATTATTTCAATATCGTTAACGGACAAATCAAATTTTCTTTCAGAACAAGAATGCATCTCAACATGACGATGAGAGACCGAAGAACGAATTCGGTCACGGCGTACTTGATGTATTGGAACCAACAATTTCACCTGCCTCACGGCAAAAAGTTTTTCTTTTAGTGGTATGTAGGTATAGTAAAGGGATAGTATTTAAGTGTATGATATATGCTTTTATGCATATTAGTGTACAGTGCAAGATTTTATGCAGCATTCGGTTATTAGATTTTCGATTATGAATACAAGGTAGCATTCGATTATTCGATTTTGATAAGATTTTACGCATGTAAATGTTTAGTATAAGATTTTATGTAGTATTGGATTGTTCGATTTTTGAACCGAAGATAGTGAGTACGAGATTAAGTTTTTTAGTTCGAGTATGTTGAGGGCCAGAGTAGGCTCGATGTCTTAGAGTGTATTGTCTGTCTAGTATCTGCTGTCTGCACATAGAGCGGACTTTTCAATCCATGGTACGTAACAAGGGTGTGCTTCCGTATCACAACTGATAACGAATTCCGTTGAGGCCGATAGTACGGTGGTTTCTTTACCCCATATGTATCTAAAATTCGTTTCCTATTTGTGCCTCCTCACAGATCTTCTTGTTCTTGGCCGCTTGTGTGTATAACTGGTAGTCAGTTTACTCCCATCAGCAAATGGAAAACACAATTCTGCCGCGAACGCCAACACAATCAAATCTCGATTGGAGACGTGGAACATGGTGGTCCGCCACAGGATGGTCTAGAGCGCTGGACGCCACACTAGAGTATAGGGTGAAAATTCACGGACCCGTGCCATGCATTATGTGACAGATGTCGAACATCCGTCACATGATGGGCAGTGAGGGAATCTACTACCCCATTGAGGGCAAAGAAAAGCCCGAATTTATTTGGACGACGAATCATACCATGTAGTCATAGAGTTGCTGTGACGCAGTTGCTTACAATATTATTGGTCATCTGAATCCCATTCATGACGGAGACACATTGCTTGACTCTGAAAAGTCAAAAGCATCGTTATCGTCCATGACTACTGATGTTTACCGGAAATAGGTGACTCGCATATCCGAGACCAACAGAGTATAGCGGCACGTGGTGTATGAAGCGCGACGGTTCACCTAGCCGTTGTAGGTCCATCCAGCTAGACATGCCCCTTTTACTTATACAGTGCGATCCTGACTGACGATATTGACGTAGTTTGGGCTGAAATCTGACCGCGATGCTCTTTACTTAGCGCTTTTAGAGTTGTGGTCCAATTTCGGTATGAATGATGTGCTTAATTTAGAATTAGTATGCTGGTAGATATACAAAATTAGTAATGAGGCTGAGAAAGCATAAATAGTATTGAGCAAGGCTTTTGAAATATCAAGTCTCGCATCGATCGAACTTTACTGGGACAGACAGAGCCCCTAAACCAAACAGCTGGAAAACGTTTGAAAAAGCGTCCGCAGTTAAATTAAATAACAGCTAATCCACTGTGTGTCAATAATTGAATTGGTTTATTGGTATCCGCTCTAACCCGAAGGGCGACCATGTATACTGCAAACAATTTGGTAACTTAACTTGCTATTTTGACACTGAAAGATTACTTGGCTAAGGTCGATGAGGGTTGATTCTTGAGGCATCAAAAAACACAAGGTTCTTCGACGGGATACTTTATTCTTCTCATTCTTGCATCGCTATATCGGAGGCTAAGTCTACCATCCGAATTTTCAGTTGCTCGCATCGACTGATCACATGTGCGCTCTGCTCCACAATTTCCTTGATATCGTCATTGGTATGCATGATCTTCTCCAGCCTACCCCTCATTTGCACCACTTGTTCATTCAGGAGTAGCGTTATTGTTGAAATGTACATCTTCGCTTGGTCTACAAAATGCGATACTATCGGCTCCACAATCGCGTCCCTTTTGGCTTGCAAATAGCCCATTACGTAGTCTATCCATTGCTCCTTCAATCTTTGCTCCTTCATCCCGGAATTGAACGAGCTATACTCCAGCGCAGCCAGTACGCCTGCATGATCATGAATGACATGAGAAATAATTATACTAGTCAGATGCTGAGTTCAGGGGGACAGTGCCCATCAATGAAACAGAAAGCCTTACGATATTATATTTAAAAGCAGACAAGCGAAAAGTGCAACATACCTGCGAATCCAAGGATCACTGCCCCAGACTTCATAAGTCCATCCGTACCTTCCCTGAATTTCAAATAAAAAAGGTATGTCAGCTACATTATCAATTTCCACGACACAATTGTCAACTATACGCAATCTACAACTTGAGAATCAGGGCAGGCAAAGTAACAACAACAAAAAGAACACCCAAAAATACCACGACGTGAAGCTAGTATCTTGACCACTGCTCGTACCTTCTATACATGATTCCGGCTACGGTTGTTGGCACTGCCACGTAAATTCCTGTAGACGCCACCGCGGCCCGACTTCCCTCATCACGTTTGCCTCTCACAGCTCTGTTTGAAATCAACGAAGGGGTGCGCTGAAGCGAGTCTATGTTATCCTGAGACGTCCGCGCCCCGCCATTGACTAATGAGAAGTGGAAATTCAGATCTGGCGCGAAGTCAGAGCCCAGCTGATTGAATTGTGACCTGATGATTTGACTAGGCAGTGATAGCATGCCATGGTGAGCTTGAGATCTGGATGTAATGGGTAGCGCAGCCGAAGTACTTTTGCTGATCTGTTCTTTGTAGGTATCCCCATTCGCTGATACACCATCATTGTCGGCATCCTGTATCTGAACACCTTTGTCATTTACTGTACATTCATTGTCGCCACTAGCGTTCATACTCTCATTCGATGCTTCAGCCACATTCTTCAGGTGACTGGTTGGCAAGGGGCTGGATTGCGGTCGGCGTGAATTGCTACCTGATATTGTACTCCTTCTGGTAAACTTTGTTTTTCCGACGCCATTGACCACAATCGTGTTCACACCATTCTTGCCGGATACATCGTGCAGAGCCAGCCCTACGTGACCCTCCACCATTGCGTATATATCACTTTGTAGGTTATTCTTAGTAGTTTCACCGATACTTTCTAGGGTTTCCACGAGATGCAGTACAAATCCCTTGCTCCTACTAGATGTCAGTGTGTCTAGCAGATTATCTACCGACATCTCCGCCAATCGCCGAGTGTACATTGTCTTATCAGGGTCGTCCGCTTTGTGAAAATTGGCGTAGTCGAACTTTTCAACGAAGTCCGGGAAGTCAAAGAATAGCCACGACGCCAACGCGCTATCACACTCTGCCTCCAAATCCTGTTCTAATTTCTCTAGCAGATCCTTACACGTAGACGTCAACCGAGACTGCATCCTCTCGACCTTCATTATACTATCGAGCATTGCTGTAATCTGATCTGACCTTGCTTTGGATTGTGACTCCAGTCTTTCATTGAGCTCCGAACTCGCAGCCATCACCACATCTAATATTTCGTGCCCGCGGTTTAAATTGTTATCGAACTTCGTACGTATCGCGGACTGAGAGACTTTTTCTTCGAAGGCCTTCTCGAACGACTCAAAACTATTGTATCGTTCTTGTACTCCGACTTGCTTGTCAGCACTGAGTTTTCCACTGCGGATCGCAAATGCCTCTCTCGCAGACACGAAGTACACGAGTTTCTTCCAGGCATCATCTTCGTTTGTGCTAGCATCCAACTCGTCCACTAATAATTCACGTGCCCGCTCTAGGTGTTGTGCTTTCACCTTATCGATATCATCCGCATCATCTGCTGCATCCCAGCGATTGAATAATATAAAGAGGTTCGGATTGGCTACTCGCTGGTTCACCCTCTGTAAAAACGTCATCTCGGTGTACTTTACTGTCGCTTCTGCATTTGCAACTAGCACAAAAACGTCGGCATCGAAGCAGTAGGTATCCAGCCATCGATCATAGTTTTCAGCGAGATCCAAACCTGGAAAATAGTGGACATGTATAGATCAGCTTTGTTGTCGAGATATAAACCAATTATTCGTGCAAAATTACGAGATGTTCGTGCAGAATTACGAGATATACGTGCCATCTATATTGAAAACTCTAAGACTGACTTTGGGTACTTCTATGATTCGGAAAGACGACACGTGTCGCAATGACCAACTCTGTAAATAAGCATTCATACCAACTTGACGATTTTCCTCTATGATAAAATCCCCTAAAATACAAACCTCTCAACTTTCGAATCTTCGTGCATAACTAATTGTGAACTTTCAGACTGACTTCGGACGTATATTGAAATCAACTTTTTGATACGGGAACGCATCAAGTGCCGTAATGGCAGCCTATGTATATACACTTCCGCTCCAACTTAAACGACATTCTCACGAACAAACACAATGAGATACAAAATGTTCAACTTTCGAATCCAACGCCTCCCTTTGTACTATAGTGTACAACTACAAATGTGATTATATACACAGCATTGTAGTTATATACGTATATGATATATATATATATATATATATCTATATATATATATCAGACACATATATACAAACACACACTCGCACACACTACATATATATATTTATATATATATATAATATAATATATATGTATATATAAACAATGCATATTTGCATGTATATATGTATCTGTATACG